CACACTTGTAATCCTAACGCTCTGAGAAGCTGGGGCAGGAAGATCCAAGTTCAAGCCCAGTCTGGCAACTTAACGATTTAGCGAGACCATGTATCAAAATAAAAAAATAAAGGGCTGGGAAAGTAGCTTAATGTAAAGGCCCCGGGTTCAACCCAGTTCTGCAAACAAAACCTAACTAATGAGACTATAGCTGTTTGCCAACTCCTGTATCAAACACACTGGTCAGCAATTGGTCTCTTCCCAATGGGAGGGTGCCAGGACGCCAGCCTCATTAGGTGAGGTTTGAGGTCTTTCCCCAAGTGTAAGGGTTCCCCTTTTGCTTTCCTAGCCTGGCTGTCCATCCATCCTTGCTCCCCCTGAGGGCTGTGTCCTTAGTACCAGCTGTTTTTACTCAGCAACAGCACAGTTCTGCCCACCCGTCACAGCTGATGGGTCAAAGGGAAGACACTTAGGCTGAGCCAATCACATCTCTTTTCCAGGGAATTTGGACTAGTCAATTGGGATTTTCAGGGAAGGATTGGGTCATTGTAGGAGCCCATCCAGGAGCCAGACTCTGATTTTCCCATGTATTCCTCAGATCTTTTGGAGTTCTCCAGATGCTCATTATTCTAATAAATTTACCCCTTTCCTCCCTGCCAGCTCCTCTTCTTTTTCTGAAAGCTCATTTTGAATTGTTTTTGTCATTTGCAGACCAACAAACCTGAACGACCCAGTCTCTAGTGCAGAGCTCTGCTCATCACTTATGTGCAACAGGTCAGGTTTTCATGTCCTTCCTTCTCACAAAGGGGCGACACAAAACATCCAGAGCCAAGAAGATGAAGGCCACGACCTTCTATGTAAATTACAAGGGTCTCAGAGGGCAAAAGACGAGTGAGGTTTGATTTTTAAATATTAAAAAAAAGTACAAGCCCATTTCAGAGTCTGCTTCTTTGTAAGCGTCCTTAAGCAAGCGAGCTGTCTGGCAGGGAGAAGCTCAGGCTGAGGTTCTCAACGTGGCATCTTTGTCTTGCCCATACTTATAGGGGTAAACTGATTTTCTAACCATAACTATTTCTCTGATTGGTACAATCAGTGTCTTGGCCTTTGTTCTGGGGTGAGCCAAGGTTCACAGGAGCTATGGGAACATGGCAAAAAGTATGCAAAGGTTCCACAAAGGGCAGCCCCTTCCGGTACATCACGGCATGAGGTTACCTGTATCACACTGGCCACCCAGCTCATGCCCTAGGCTGCCTCTTCCTCCCTACCTATCCCTACACTGCCACCATTCAAAAACAGAAGAATTATTCTTATCTAACAGGCAGCAGATCTGGTGGGGCTCGGGGTCTACAGTTTGCTGTTCCCTGCTGTAATGAGAATAGCATTAAGTCCTTTGAGAGATCTAATTTTTTATTCCAAGATAGAGAAATCAGCAATGGAGACAAACAGCTACCCTGGGAGGTTTGGAAACACGAACACCAGTGTGCATCCAGGCCTCCGGGGACCCAGCCCTGGTGAGAGGCGGGTGGGCAGAGGTGGGAGAACAGGAAGGGGCAGGGTTGGAGTGTGTGCGGGTGTGCAGGGTGAGCGGTATGAGTCTGGAGGGTCTGAACACAAGTGAGCAGGGACGTGGGTGTGCATGTATTGACCACAGCGGGTGTGCCTGTGTGCACGCGTGTGTGCAGTGTGTGTGCACGTGGATGTCAGCAACCAGCATGTAAGGCAGGGGCTGAGGATGGGGCCACTTAGGGACTCTGGGAAGAGGGCAACAGTCACCATGTTGGTGACATCTTTCGTATCTGGAGCTGGAGTCACTACCTGGGCTGTACGTGTTGCACTTGACATGGCCCTGCTGGGGCCCCCTGGACCCTGTCAAGGATGCACACAAAGGCCAGAGCAGACCAAGAGGCTCATCTCAGGAGGGAGGGAAATGCCCCTCAGTGACAGTCACTTCACCCTGGGCCCTGGGCTACCACTGCCTTTCAAGCTGAGGCCTCAGACTTAACCTGACATTCAGTGCTCTCCACAAATATCTCCCATCCAATCCCAGCCTTTCTCTCCCAGAAGGCCCTGAACTAAAATACACACTGAGGGCTTATTCCGTGCTCAACGCTCCATGAATTCTATCCACATTTTTATGAAATAGGTACTTTGATGATCTCCATTTTATAGATGAACCAATAGAGCCTCCACAGAGCAAAATGACTCACCCAGTGTCACACAGCTGCTAAGGAGTTCACAGCTAGGACAAAAATGGACCAGAACGGAAATCCTACATTACTTACCGAGGCACAGAAGAGGCTCTGTCTGGCCCAGGCAACGCTGCATGTGGGAGGCAGACACCCGGGTGTTGGTGCCTTTTGCTTGCTGTTCTGAAGGTGTGACCGCAGATCATGAGACCCAAGTTCAAACCCCAGCCGTGCCCCTTTCTGCTGTGTGTCCTTGAGCCCCATCTCATGTCTCTGGGCCTCAGCTTCTGCAGCTCCAGGAAGGGAAGGCTGCCCCTACCTGGGTTGGCTGTGAGTGAACAGGTGATTTGTGAATGAACGGTTATTACCCATACGACTTGGTGGCACCCCAGCACTGAGCCTGCCACCCAGTGTCATAATGTTTGGTAACTGAGACTTGAGTTTGAGTCTGCCCCTTAGCAGCTCCTACACCTTCACAGCTGGGAAATGACGGTGGTGAACTGGTTCCCAATCTTGGTTGTCCTTCCGGGACAGCTCCCCGATTGCTGCCTGTGTCCACCAGCTCCAGGCGCCTTCGAGCCCCGTACTCAGCAACATTCATCACAGGGTTTCTTAACCTTAACATTGCGAAGGCTTTGGCCTGAATAATCTCATGTGGGAGGGTCAATCCATTGTGCCTCTCACCACTAGATACCATTAATGTCACCCAGTTAGACATTGTCAGATGTTCCCCAGGGCTGGGGGCAGCATTGTCCTGCTTGATAAGCATCACTTCCCAGCAAAATGTCATCCTCAGATGCTGTCCAACATGGCGGTTCAGAGCCTGGACTCCAGAGTCACGTGTGGGTTTGGATCCTGGATCCACACTGGCTGCCTGTGACTCTGGGCCAGTCACTTAGCCTCTCCGAGCTGAAAGTTCTTCGTCTGTATGGTGGAGTCAGGAGAGCTTTTGCCTCCTGGGACTGAGGGGAGGAGGACGTGAGCTGCGACTTGTTATGTGCTGTTTCTGGGAACTGGGTCTTGGGAGGTGGGACGTGTGGGCGGGCTTGGGAGGATCTCGGTCTGGGCAGAGATGAGGAGCCCAGGGGTTACGGGGACTGGGAAGCCTTGTGCCTCCCACCTGGGCAGGCAGGTGGCCTTGTGTGTGGCTCCTTTGGCCCCCAGGAGCCCCCTCCGCAGCCAGTGCATGGAGGTTAATGAGCTGTTTGGTTCCAGAGGCTCATGAGGCTCCACTCACTCGGCCAACACCTGCTGCACCTGATTGATGGTCGCCCTGCAGCCACAGGGGACGGTGAGTCAGAGGGGACAATCAGTCCATCCCCGGCCCCAGGAAAGACTCGGCCCCTTCTCTCCTGCTTGCAATGGGAACGAGGAGGATGGAAGTTTCTGGTCTGGCCTTGACCCTCATGCCTCCCTCCACACCATCCCAGAGCTGAATGTCGGGTCTGTGCTAAGCATAGCTAATGTTTCCTATTTTTGCCAGGAATTCTGCCTGTTTTATCTGGTTTTCATCTGGATCCCAGCTTTCTAAAGCGTAATTAAAGTATAATTATGATCCCCATCTAACAGTTAAAGAAACTGAGGTTCTGAGAGTTGATGTCACTGCCTGGCCAGGCTGCACAGCTGGTCAAAAGAACAAAGCCCACAGCTGGAATTCAGTTGCTGAAGGAGATTCTACTTCTTTGAACCTCAATTTCCCCTTCTGTGAAATGGGGCAACTCAAACATCTGGCCCCACTGACTGCAGTGAGTGGGAAGAAACCAGTAGGTAGTGTTGGGCAGGATCTACTATTCTTTGAGAGAGACACAGGGGTGGGATGGGTCCTGGGTCACCTGTCAGCAGAGATGGGGAAGTCTAGGGTGCAAAAGGTCATTCATGGTGGACACTCCTCTCAGGAGCTCTGGGTGGCCTTGTGCTATGTCCCTACACCAGCAACTGTCATCTGCAGAGCTCTTAGTAGGTACTGGGTACAACTCTAAGTGCTTATATGAACTTACAATGCTGGGAAGAAGGCAGCAGCAGTACAATAATTACACCCACACAGCTTGCATGTGGTGGAGTTGGAATTGGTTTCCAGCTCTATCAGTGTCCTCTTGCTCCTGCAGTGGGTGGCAGGAAGGACTCACCGGAATAAAATCCCGCTCCTAGTCTCTCCAGCAGCATGAGCTCTGGGTTTTCTCCTTGGCTTGGCCTAGTGGCTTCCTCTTCCTACATCCAGCTTCCTAGCTACCAGATAGAACTCAGCAGCATGGGGTTAATGTGGGCACAGGGCTTGGGCTCAGTACAGAGGCCATATTTGTGTGTGCATCTGCATATTAATGCCTCCATGCCAGATTCATCCTTCTAGAGAAAATGTACCCAAGGCTAGTTGGGTGGAGAGGGCTTGGACATGCTGTGATCACTGAAATTACTGTTCAGCTAACATGCATGTCCTTTCCCCCACTCCACACCGGTGGACCTTACATCCCCACTCTTTGAAAGCCTGGGTCATTTTTACTTACACTGGCCAATGGAATGTCAGTGGATGTGGTCTGGAATGGTGTCTGGAATGTGTGAATTTTCATTCTGGCTGTCAGGCTGGGCTCTGCAGTAAGGACACACATGTAACTGCTTGAACGTGACTTTGGCTATGATCTGAAGCCAAACAGGAGCCTCTTAGTAAAGCCCAACTTGGACTTTAGATCCAGGTGCATAAAGTGAAATGCTAGTTGTTTGGAGACGTTTGTTACACTGCACAATCCTGGCAATAGCTGACTGATACACTCACCAATGTCATACTTCAGGATTCCTCTTATACAACAGATAACAACAGAATTCAGACCTGTTTTGGCGGCAGTGTGATGCAGTAATTCTCAAATTCTTTATTGGCATAAATAATTCAGACATTGGATTCTCACTAAACATTGCACTAAACACAAGAAACAATAGGCTTGCCGGCTCAGAGGCTCACAAACTGTCCAACAGCCCAAGATAGAAATACTTTTTTGAGAAGTGTAGAAAACTTTATAAATGAGTCTGTACAAATATATACAGTGGACCCTCCCTCCCTCCATCCGGCTCTCCCTTCCTGGATGGCATTGAATCAAATATTCTTTCTCAGCAGCGAGACATTGGCAACAAGTGAGTGAGAAAGAGAGACAGAGACCCAGAGAGACAGAGTTACAAAGGGAAAAGAAAGAGGAAAGAAGCAGCCCCAGAAGGGAAATGTGGAATGGGTTTCATACATCAGCTCATTCTGCGACAGTCAGCACAGACAGACATGGAGACAACAAAGTGGACCATCGGTCCTCATGGGTCTGTACAAGAATCAGTCTTTATATATATAATATATATGTATAATATTTATAGGTATATATACTTTGTGTATAGAAAAAGGTAACAGCATCATTTACACAGAGAGAAAGCCTTTTTACAATTGAGGAATTTTCTAAGGTCGGTAACTTCAAGAGTAATCAACCAAATGAATCATGCGATAAGTCTGTGGAGCGGACCCTGGCGAAAGATCGGAGATCAGGAGAGAGGAATGGGAGGTGGGCACAGGGACCACCCTTGTGGGGGCGCAGGTCTGCCTGGCCCTGCCCTGAGCAAGGCACTCACCTGGCTGCACCAGCCCTGTCTGTCCCACTGAACCTGCAAGTTCTCCCCTTGGAGCCTGCATGAGAAAAGCCCTGCTTCTGTGAGGGTGTTGAGGGCAGGGGTGGTGTCACCAGGACTCCCCAGTTCCCTAAGACAGAGCCTCGCCTTACAGATGCTGAGCTGGGGTGGGGTCGTCCTTATGAGACCCAGCATCTCTCCCCATGCTCCATTAAGCCAATGGGTAACACCCACCGCCTGTCTCTTCTGGTCCCCTGGTTTTTCAGGATGGGATTTGGGGTGGAGGAGAGATTCAGTTGGGTGATTGAGAAGCCACACTTATTTTGAGCACCTACTGTGCGCCTGGTATTGTGTGATGCTGCCGACATTCATTTTTTCATTTACTGTCCTGAGCAAACTCGAAGGTTAGCGGTATACTAAGTGCACAGAAACCAAAAGAATCCAAGGACTACGCTAAAGGTGCTGCAGATGCTGAGAAGTTGTTGGTGAGATCATTGTCCACACCAGGGAGAGGCTTGGGAATTGTGAGCTGAGTCAAGTTCAAACAGGTAAACAAGCCTGGCTAATTCACAGAAACCACACACGCCCTGGAGTCCGTGAAGGCTCTGTTTCCAATCCTTCAAGCTCTGATGCAGATCTAAAGGAACAGCAGGTCCCCTATTCCATTGAGAGTTGATACATCCTCCCCTGCCTCAGGCTGTACTGCAGACTTGGCCAGCGGCTCACGATGACTCCTGGGTCTTTTTTAGCCACTTCTAAAACAGACTAGCAAGACCGTTTGTGTGTGGGGACCATTTCTGTGTTCCTGCATGTCCTTGACCTCAGCCCTCCAGTGGCCCAGCACAGACAAACACAAAGGGTCCAGGAAAGGGACCATGGTGACACTGTGGGGTGGGTGGGGGTCTTTCCAGTGTGGCAAGACAGATGTGTGGGTCTCAGGGAACTCAGGCAGGTCACAAGCTGACACAGGAAGCGACAGAGGAGAAAGAGCTTCAGAAAGTAGGGCTGGTGGCAGACCCGCTCTAGCAAGGATGTGCCCGGACAGCACAAGTAACACAGGGCACCAGAAAACAGTCACACAGCCTCCATCATGCAGATGTAGGTGTGGGTGTCAAAGAGCAGCTGGCAGGGCCACCGAGAGATGCAGAGAATATCTCAGATGGCCTAGGAATCGTCCCAACCCTCCCTTGGACATCTGCCACCCAGGGCACTGAGGCTAAGAGGCTAAGAGTAGACATCAGAGCACGCTGGGGAGAGAAGGCAAGGCCTCCAGGTCTGGACCTGGGCATTTTCCACTTGGGGATGGAGACTTCCAGGGCTCAGCATCTAGCTTGGGGAAAGCAGGGAACAGCAAATGTCAATAAATGCTGCTCTTGTCCTTGAGTCTGCACATAGGCTGTTCCTTCCACCTGGCACATTGTTCCCTACTTTCCATTTCTATTCTGCTCACATTTCACATGATGTTCAGAAGTCTCCTCCTCGGAAAAGGCTTCCTCAAGGGCCTTTTTCTGGAGGATGGGAGCTCCTTAGGGGCTTGATAATCCCACTGAAGCTCCTCTAACTGGAGCTCTGGGCCCAGGGACCCTGAAGGCAAGGGACCCCTTCCTTCTGCATTTTCCTAGCTCCACACGAGGCACTTAATCACCATGTATTGATTGACTCCATGAAATTAAGTCTTGGGGAAGGGATGGGGTTGCTTGGTGCTGGGCTCTGCAGATGACGCAGTAATTGTGGCTGGGGACATTCGCTTTTGGAACATGGGGAAGATTTTCTTAGTGTTCTTCCATGCACCAACAGGCCAACGAAAGGAGCTAGGGTGGGACTAAGAGACCAGGGCCCACAGGCATCCCTCTTGGGACTCGGGCCAGCTGTTGGGGGCTGGTCAAGGGCAGCAGTGGGATGAGAAGAAGTGGGATGAGACACTGGGCCTGAAATACGATGGGGCACCCAGGGTCTGGGCCCTGAGGCTGGGGGCTTTAGGAGGATTTATTCCTGGTGACCAAACTGGCAAGAAATGACTGCTGGGAGGAGGAAGGAGAGGTGGGAAAGAGATGCATGCACCTCATGATTGTGCTTGGGCTTAGCCGAAGGCACCCACACTAGCTGTGTCCCCTTCTCTGTGGGCCCATTCGGCCAGTGCTACCCGGCCTTACAGGGACCACGCAGCTCTCCTCAGGAGGCTGATTGGGGGTGGGGCTAGGGGACCAGGGTGGAGGTCCTGGGACAAGTACATTGGAGTACCCTGGTGTCTACACTGTAGCTACATAGCAGTTTCTTGAACTTACACAAGTTCATATGTACCCATTTAAAAAATTATTCTAGTGGTATTATTTGCAATACAGGTAGAAAAATAAAGAAGGAAACGGCTAGGATTGCGAGGACCAATGCATTGCATTAATTGTCCAAGATGCACATAAGTGTTAATTGTCCAGTACCCTACCTGGGGCAGGCTGGGGAGGGGAGGGAGAGGTTGGCCTCATCAGGGCTCCAGCCGACCAGCCTCCTTCTTGGAAGGGGCTTGGCTGTCCCCAGTTCCCAAAGCAACTTTCCAAGCCCAGCCCTTTCAATACCCAGCTCCCCCTACCCCCAGTCTTGGGCCCACTGACTCCTCTGGGGTCTGATTCTAGGGGTGTCACAGCAGGGCCTTTAGAGATGACCCACACCCACCACCTGCCTCCACCTCCAGGTCAGCCACGTGGGAGAGGATGGAGCTGTACATCTGGTCCAGATGGTGTATTTTGTGGCTTTATCTCCACCGGAGGCAGTGCTGGTGGCCTGGGCTGAATTTCTTCTCCATAGCTAACTGGAAATTGGTAAGAAGGTGGGAAAGGCTCTGAACTATCTAGGGGCTCTCCTTCCTGGGGAAGCTGGGGAAACGTCCCTGAGGAGCTCCAGAGAGCAGCACTATGGTTGCCTAGCACACGTCTTAGGGTTTGAGTTGACTAAGAAGAGTTCCTTCCTAGGATGCCCATGTTGGGGGTGATGCCTGGGGGACTTGGCCCTTGCTGTAGCCACATTCTCCTGGCTGATGTGGCCCTCACACTATGGAGCTTGGTGCCCTCCTCACTCCAGGTGCCCCCTCTTTGAGTTTTCCTCTTTCTCCAAAGCTGCAGGTGGCACATCGCTGGATTCCAGTCCTAGTAGTGTGGCCAAAGAGACAACCCAAGGACCTCAGGCAATGTCTGCACATGGGTCTGGATGTCACACAGGGGACAGGGGAGGCCACTAGCATTGGAAAGATGATGGCCAGGGTTGCTGTTCGATATCCTACAATGACCAAGACAGTCCCCGCCATAGAGAAATATCTGGGCCCTGGGTCAACGGTGCTGAGGTTGTGAAATCCTGGCTTACAATCATCATCCCTTCCTCGTTCTCTTTCTTTAGATCTTCATTTAAATGTCACCTCTTCCCAAAGACTTGGCCAGCAGACCCCCTTTCCCACTGTCCTCTTATGAGTTTTCTTTTTGTAGATCTATGTGCATTGCAAATGTGTACATTTGTGGTTGGCTGTTTCTTATCTCTCTCCCGCCTCAGGCTCTGAGCCTCAGAGGCTTTGTATCACTCATCACTGAATTCAGAGTAGGTACTTACTAAATCACCCAATGAATGAATGGCTGCAAGAGAAATACACCCACAGAACTCTCACCTTGGACACTGCCATCCGCATGAGGACACAGAGCTCCCTCCCACCCATACCAGTACATCGCCCACTACTCTGGTTATTGCAGACCACAATTTCTCTCCAGTGTCCTGTCTCCAGTGTGTCTCAAACCCTCCCTCTAGCACAGAAGTTCAGGGTATTTTTAAAAGAGAAGAACTAGCCAAGCTGGTATTGTTTTTTTTTTAAGTTGTAAGAAGAAAGAAAAACTAAGATTTGTATTTAATCATTAGACTTTCAAATCTAAGAAGCCACAATGCAAATAGCACGTTGCCATAAACAATTGCTGCCTACTCTGTGGAGGGAGGGGGCTGTTCTTTTGAGCTAATTTAAGCTAAATACATGGCAGCTATTTTTCATCTCTACTATTGTGTGACTTTCTCCTCACTCGCAGTCCGGGGGAGATTTCATCAGGCAGGAGGTTTGGGGTGTGCAAAGGGAGGAAGGAAATGGAAAGACAGCACAAGTCGTCCTCATGGCCACTAAGCTGGTTGTCAGAGGTATTTTGAGAACTCCAAAGTGAAGCCAGTGGTCCACTACGACCCCAGAAGCTATGTGGATGAAAACTGGATTCTGAACTTTGCACACAGGGAAGAAAACGAAGAGTAAAGAGTCAGATTCCTTTCCCTCAACAATCTGTGCAGCATATCCTGACTTCCCAGAAGCCCAGGCTGAACTACAGAACTTTCACAAACTGCCTCAGAAGAAAAGAGCCCCTGCCCTGCCCGCTGTGCCTACGACGCCATCTTTCCTCAGGGGCCACGTATGTCAGGCTCCCAGCCCAGCTGCTATGTGGCTGGAGGTACATTCAGACCTTCTGGGAAGCCATCCTGGAGAATAAATGATTCTCTCCAAGCTGCGGGCAGATTACCAAATAGGATCAGATGCAGGGTCTTAGGAATAGAGTCTTTCTGCATTTTCCAAGTTCCCTCACTGAATCTTCTGTGAGGCCCTGATGGACTGTGTACAAATAACAGCCCGAAGGACTAGGCTTCTGGAAGTTTCTGAGGCCTGAGTTCTAAACCAACCTCTATCCCTTAGAAAGGACCTGACTGGGGAGGAGTTTACCTGTCCTGTCTGGTCCTCAGACTCTGCTGCTATATAGGGACGGGAGCATGAGTTCAGGGATGGTCACATGTGTCCTTCTTGAGTGGCAACTCTCATTTCCCATGGCTGGGTCTGTGATCAGTGGAAAGGTGTGCTGTGATCAATCAGTGATGTCTGCTTGGAGCACAGGCTGTGGCAGCAGGAGCAGAAATGTTATATATTTGCCCTCTTTAGCCTTCCCCTGGGACTCTGCTTTTCCTACCAGTAGTGAATGGAAGATCAGCTGTGGCCAATGACTCTCACCTCCATCTTTCTTCCAGGGTGCACCTTGGATCAACTCTGGGGTATTTCTCACACGCTACCCTCTGGGGAGTCAGGGATGGATGAGGCCCAGATACCTTTACTCTCTTTAAGCAGGTGGTCTCTAAATGCTGGTGATCAACTGCTTGTTTTTGTGGGCCAGAACACTGACACTTGCTTCTTGAGCACCAATTAAGAAATTAAGCTGAACTCACACAGGTTGTCCTTGTTGGGGATTCAGAAACCAGCTTGAAAAGGCTTGCACAAAGGGATTATTGGCTTTTTAGAAATTCAACCACACAATAGTGTCTTTAAAGCTCTGACAAATCCTGCAGCCAAAAAACAAGTTTCATCTTGTTTTACCCAAGCATTTCCTATGCATATTTGTCCCAGGGTCCTTTCAGTAACAGAATGGCCATCTAGTCATCCATGGAAGTATAAGTCTATGGGGCATAGATAGTAAACAAGGTCTTATGTAAACCAGGCACACTGTAGGCAAAGCCATTTCCTCCAGCTCAGGCCTCAGTGGAGGGACACATTCATCTCAAGCCCACAAGATGAGTCCGTCATATTTTGGGTGTTAGGAAAGGGCTGAATGATCCCACTGATCTGAAAGGAAGGACCCTTCCCACCCAGGAGGGAAGTCCTCTCATTGGTCAGTCCCCTGGGAACCCAGGACCGCAGTTAAATGTCAAGTGCAGGAGGGGGAGAGGGTGGGGTGGAAAGTGTGGGCTGCTTGGAGGAGGAGGCTGCTGGCAGACACGCATTTCCTGAAAATCTGGGCGACTGCTGGCAGCCTGGCAGTCTGGGAACACAAGTGGGCACCCTGCACCCTCCCTTCCATGATCTCCTGTTTCTCCTCTCTCTCTGTAGGTTACTAGCTGGGAATCAGTCTTGGAGGCAGGGACTGTGACATCCCTGTGGGTGGCACGGAGCATTCAACACGGGTGAGTTCTTAGGAATGGAAGAGCCTACAGACTCATTTTTAAAATGTTGGCTCTACAACTTTGCGGGTTGGTTTATGTCTCTAGCCCTGTTGTTCCATCAAAATGGGGACATAGGTACCTGCCTACCAGGACTGTCATGAGGTTCCACAGGCCCAGCACATGGTAAGCATTCAGTGAAAAGCAACTATTAGAGCTGGAAAGTTACTCTGCCTTCCAGATGTCTCAGACCCCTGATCCATGGGACCACACAAGTCACACTTGTTAATCCTGGCAAATACATTTGAAAAGGAGACATGGCATCCACAACAGAGATGGAACTTCAACACCACCAAGCCCTGCCAACAGAGCCCTGTGGCCTCCTACGTCCAGCCCATGCTCTTACCCAGCACCTGACCCTCTCTGCGTTCTGGAAACATCTATTGAGCACCTACTATGTTCCAGGCACTGTGCTAGGAGCTGGCACAAAGACAAGTCGGGAGGTCAGGAGGATCTCAGTCTTCCACCAGCCTCCTGTCCCCAGCTTCCTGTCCCCATTTAGCAGGTAACTAAGAATTGGTATGGATCACAGGGCTCAAGAAGGAGTCAGTAACTAATCAGATGCACTGACCAGAGGAAAGAGTTCCAAGGTTGCTTCCACATTCTGGGGCCCAGCCTGATATTCATAACTTCTCGTTCCCTTGGAGAGCAGGACAGTTCCCTTACAAGTGGGTGCAGGTGAAGGCAGCTGGGATGGATGAGGTGACACTGAAGCCCAGGAAGAATGTCCTCAGGAGCCTGCCAGAAAACTTCCCAGGCAAAGCCCAAGAAGGAAGGAACAAAAGCCCAACTCCCCAAGGTCACTCCTCTGCCCCCGAGAGAGAGTATAAACAAAATCAGACACACATCACCAACACCTTTAGGCTATGCCATGACATGCCCTCAAGTGACTGTCCCTCTGCAGATGAGCCACCCACACACAGGCCACCCACCTTCCCACAAGGAGCTGAAATCTGAAGCTGCTGGGACTCAGTGATGGGAAGTGTCCTTCGGGAGGGGCTTGAGAAGTAAACAGCAGTGGCCTGAGCCTTGTGTCCCAGGGATACTGGGGGATCTAGGATCTGGGAGACCTAGGGTCTGTCATGGGGGGCCCAAGGTGACCTACCAAGGTACAAGAGAAAGCTCTGGAGAGCAGGTTCTTCTCCCAGCCACCCCTTCAAAGAAAAGAAAAAAGAAACCCTAACCCTCAGGACTACAGAATGTGACCTGATTTGCCACAGGGTCACTGTGGATGCAATTAGTTAGGAAGAGGGCCCTTAATCCAGCATGACTGGCATCCTTATAAAATGACAGCCACATGAAGACAAAGACACAAAGACATAGACAAAGACACCACAAGGAGGGTGGTATGCAAGGATGGAGACAAGATTAAGGTGATGTCATGCAAGCTGAGGGGTGCTAATGTTTGCCAGCACCCGCTAGAAGGAGAAGGCAGGGAGGCTGCCCTTCCAGGGGTTAAAGAGGCATGGCTCTGCCCATCTTTGCTTTTGGACTTCTGGCCTCCAGAACCTCGAGAGGATAGACTTGTGTTATGTCTGGCCACACAATGCAATGTGCAGTGCATTTGTTATAGCAGCAGTGGGAAGCTGATACAGAGGGGAGTGAGGCTGGGGCATGTTGATAGCGTGCTTGCAACAAGACCAGCCCTTGGGGGATGGGTGGGTGAAGGATGACAGGGCACAAGGACAGGGAGGGTGTGTTTGGGGATGCAATGTTGAGACCAGTGTGGGAAAGCAAGTCAAGAATGGGAGTGTTGCCCCTAAAGGCTCTTTAACTTCAGTTCCTTGGCCAAGCATGGTGGTGCACACCTGTAATCCCTGCACTCCGGGGGGCTGAGGCAGAAGAATCACAAGTTTGAGCCCAGCCTGGGCAACTTAGTGACTTGTCGAGACTCTGTCTCAAAAAGAAAAAGAAACAAATAATAAAAAGGACTGGGGATGTAGTCAGTGCAAAGGCCTGGGGTTCAATCCCCAGTGGTGAAAAAAAAAACCCCCACAAAACTCCAGAGAATTAGAAATCCCAAGCGGTGTTGTAAGGGCCTGAAATGTGTTCAGTGCCACGTTCATATGTCTCAATCCCTAAGGGGACTGTATTTGGAGGAGAGCCTTCAAAGAGTTAAATGAGGGTAAATTAGGCCAGAGGGATGGGGCCTTAAGTCAGTATAAGGGTGGAGTCCTTACAGGAGGAGATGCCATGGACGTGAAGCCCCAATGAGAAGGCGGCTGTCTGCAAGCCAAGCAGAGAGGCTTGCCCCGGAAGCAACCCTGACACCTTGATCTGGAACTTCCAGCCTCAAGAGCTGTATGAAGGAAATTTCTGTTGTTCAAACCACTTGGTGTGTGGTACAGTGTCATGGCAGCCTGAGCAAAGGAATGGGGTCTTAAAGCCCTGCTAGTTCACGCAGCCGGGGCTTGAATTCCTGCCTATCATACATGCCATGTGGTCAACATCTGCTCACATCTGTCCCAGGGAGGGAGCTGTCACCTCCCTGGGAGCTCCTTGTACCTTAGGACTGTGAGACAGTCATCTCTCATGCTGCTGTTCCTCCTCTGGGAGCCATATACAAGTGAATTTATTCTCCTGTAAGTCTTCTCTATCAGAGGCTGGCCAAGAGAGTCAAGGCCCAGATTGCAAATATTTTAGGCTTCATGGGCTGCCTTGTCTCTGCTGCAAACAGCTCCATCACTGTAACACAAAGCCATTGAGAATATGCAAACAAACAGGTCTGTCCCAACGCAATTCCATGTAGGGACAAGAACTTTGAATTTCATAGAATTTCCCCATGTCATGAGATAGTCTTCTTCTTGAGTTTTCGCCCCAATTAAGTACAGGTAAAAACAATTTTGTGGGCTGGATGTGGCCCTCAGGATGCAATTTGTGAATCTCAGCTCTGGATTTGTCAAGATAGTGATTATGTGGGGCTAAGTTTGGCCATTTCCTCCACGTGCTTCTGATGGTGGGGACAGTGCTTGAGATGCGAAGGGAGTCTGGATTCGTGTGTGCTTGGGGTGTGTGGTGTATAATTATGGGTTGGAGGTGGGGAAGGACCAAGTTTACTGGATTCAGGAATCTGACTGCTGATGCCAATCAAGGGCTTCCATTGGTGGAAGAGGTCAAGGTGCCTGTGGTGAGAAAGAGGAGGGAACTCGACAGCAAGATTAGATGGTTTTCCTCTTTGATCAGTAAGAGGAAAACCAGAAAAAAAAACCCCATCTAAATGTTGACTTGGTTTCCAGTTTGGCTCTGGGGATGGGGAGGCCAGAGAATGTCCCATAAGAGGGTTTTTTATTTTGGGAAAGACCTGTGGCCTGGAGGAAAGGGTGGAATTCAGTGTGCAAATCTACACATGTCCTAGGAAGGAAAGAGATGTTTCTCTCAGAGCTCAAGGCCTTCGGGTGGATCTTACCCTGTCGACCAGCTCTCTCAGGCAGCCTGTCTAAAGAAGGATTTGCGGAATGCAAGGCACAGACAGAAACAACTCACTGTCAAGTGCGTGACTTGTGTCACTGAACACACACACATATTTTTGCCGGGTAGACTGTATAGACTGAGCTGCAGGACAGGGGCAGCTAGGATGGAAACATTTACAGTGTCCTCTCTTCTCTTTCTCCTTGCAAAGGATGGATGAATGTATGCCCCTCCCCCCACCCCATGCATAGACTGAGGCCAGCAGGGAAAGAAGCGGTTTTGTTTTCCCAGGACTTAAAATTGTGCAAATTAAAGGGACCACTAACAGGCTATGGTGATGCAGTTGGGGTGGGAGAGGGGGTCCAGGCGGACGCCCAGATGTGCCCAGGTGATTGCAGCAGAGATCTTGGCAGGTGGGGACAGAGCATGGAATGAGAAGAAAGTACAAGAAGTCAAGAAGAGGTGACATGGGACCCAGGGACAGGTCCAAGGAACCCTGGTCTACAAAGCAGAGAAGCCCCAAGAAGAGAAGGTCAGGATGGGGTTTTCCCCTGGGTCATCCACTTCTGGTCCTAATCCCAAAGAGGTGCTCATGAACACATGGAAATGTCGCCCTTTGGAGACCTCGCAGGGCCCTGCCGAAGGCTGGGGTTGGCCAGTGTGGCCCAGAAGGTGGAAACGAGTGGGGCAAAGAGAGGAGGTTCAAGTCCTTGTGGGCAATTCAGCTTCAGAATAGCTGAACACTGGCTACCTCTTCCCTTTGTTGCTTCCTCTCAAAGACTGATCTGTGGACCTGTGGCATCCTGATGGGATGAGAGAGAAGTCAGCAGCTGGATTTCAGGCACTCAGTAGGCTTCAGGCAGAGCCAAGGAAGGTCCAGGCCCAGAGGAGGGTTGGTCCACAGGGGGCTTGTTTGCTGGGGAGACATGGCCTACAAGAGCTATCCCCAGCAACACCAGAGCTCTGGGGGCCCCTGAAAATATATGTGAAATGCCTCCAAGATACACTAATACCGAGCCAGGGGCCACAGAGATGTCTAGACGTCCCAGAGGAATGTCCATTTAGGAACTGCCCATATGGGGCTTTGAGTCCCTGGGTGCCAGACAGGTGGGATCATTATTGGAAAGGCCTTGGGGAAATACAGGGGTCTCCCTGGGATCCAGCTCTTAGGAAACACGACTTTTCTCATCATTCTTCCTGGCTTGGTCCACAGAGCATGGACCAGTCTGAGCTACCCAAGGTGGGGAAGATCCCCCTAGATATGTCTGGTTGAATTTTGAGCCTCAGCACAGATAGGGTTTTGAGCCTCAGTTCCTCTCTCTGGGAGGGAGACACCTGGATAAGGTGGCAGCTACAAGATGACCAAGGCCAGTGGTACCCAGTAAGTCCAGAGGGCCAGTGGGCCAGCCCTGGGCATCCTGCCAGCTGCTCAGCTGTCTCTGCAATTGCTCTGCTTGGGAATGGATTTCCCTTTTACGTTGAGTTAGATCAGTGGGGTCAGGGATTTGGGAAATGTACACACGATCCAATCTGTTCACAGCATCCTTCACACAGAACCACGGGGGACCCTAGAAAAAGCCACCAGCCCAGCAGATAAACAAAAGGAGGGATAGGACGAACACTGAGCCAGCACAGATAGGTGAGGGAACACAGGCTCCTGACGGGGAGGCCACTTGGAGACTCAGAACCAGGCTAGCGTGGAAAATGCAGGGCTACAAACACCTGCCCTCCCTCACCTCCTCAAAGAGCTTACTAAGGGTGAGAGGCGGAAAAGTCCTTCAAAATAGGGCATCACATGTACAACCCTGGAACCCAGTGCGTGACATCCCATATCCATCACTGTGGGTGGAGCAACTCCACGGCGTCAGCACAGAGAGAGAGAGGGGAAGGAATGTTCTGCGACCCCTTCCCCAGAGCCCTGGGCCTCGGAGCCCAGACTTCAGGGGGTATCATGAATGACGGCGGTATAGGGAACCCCCGGAAGTCATTTTGGCTGGGAAGCCACTGTGCCTTCCACATTGTAAAAGGAGGGTGGGGGAGTGAGATGAGACAGGATGACATTTTTGTGGAACAGCAGGCAAAGGCGGAACCCAGAAACTGCTACCCCTGAGACTCAGAGCTCAAAAGTCAGGCAGAACTCTTCCCCTGCCTTCTGGAGCTATATGCAAAGGTGACACAAACCACTGTAGCCTCGGGCTGGAGGCTCTGAAAACAGATGTTTCCAAAGGAATGAGCTTTTGCCAACCCTTCCTCCCCACCTTGACCTTGGCCAAGAAGCCTGGACAGAGCTGGTGCTTGCTCTGCTTCCTTCCCACAGAGACAAAAGCCGCCAGGAACACTCCATGGCTTGGGGCAGTCTGGACCCCGCTTTTCCAGGTGGAAAGAAAACAGAGCCTTGGCCACAGGGTGATGCATGCACACACAGACGCTCCTATGAGCCTGCCCACAATGTCTCCTACCCTCATCTGCAGAGCCTGGGGCTCTACTTTCAGCCTGTGTTTCTCTGGTCTACGCTGTTCCCCCTGGGCCTCACTCATCAATCCTGCCTGGTCCTCCTGACTGATCCAGTTCTGTCCTAGCTCGGGGTTCCTGACCCTGCCTGAGAAAAAGGGCGCAAGTCTGGGGTGCATGCGGGGCAGCCCCTGCGCGCGTGTGTGCAGTGCCCCCAGGCTGGCCGGGTCGGGACACTCTGACGGTGAGCCTCTGGCCTCCTGAGCTGGCAGGGGGCAGAGCAGGGAAAGAGAGGTGATTCGGAGCTGAGGTGGCTGAGCGCCATCTGACTGTCGCACGGTCACAGCCTGGAAGTGGGGAGAGAAAGAGAGAGCATGGTGAGATAGGATGTGGATGTGGCAGTGCCACCCTGCCACCTCAGAGGGTCAGGTGTTTTGAGATGGGCAGCTCCTGTCCTCTCTAAGTGAAAAGGACTTCTGCTATGTGAAGCCCTACTATGTGCCAGGCTCTGTGCCCAGTGCCACACATACCTGATCTCATTTAAGCCTGAAAACAGCCTGCAATATAGGCACAGCATACCCTCTTCACAGATGAAAACCGAAGCTCCAGGGGTTAAGGTTTTGCCCAAGGGTGCACAGCCAGGAAGTAGCAGGGCTGAATTTGAACCCAGAACTCTCCTACTGGAGCATGTGGCCTCTGGGCCAGGGATGGTCATGCATTGTGTGGGCTGCAGGAGGCTCAATAAAGGCTGGAGATACAGGATGAGGACATGAGATCAGGATCCTCACAGTGCTCCGCTATGAACTGAGGGTTACCACCCATGGCAGCAAAAGGACCTCAATTGTTTTGTTTGCCACTGTATTCTCACTCAAGGAATGGTGCCTGGCACTTAATAGATGTTCAGCATGCACAGGCTGAATAATAAAAGCCCAGAATGAATGGAAAATTCCACTGGACCTAAAGTCCCACGAGGCCAGAACATATCTTGTTCTCTTTTGTGTTCTCAGCCCAATACCACAGCTGAAGGAAATAGAAAGAAAGGTCCCTCTCTTGCCCTCCAGCCAGTGAGCTCTCAGCCCCTCTCTGCTCTTGAATGCCTGCCCTTCCTTCCTGACCCCAGGAGAACAGAAGTCACAGGGTGACGGCCCAAATGCCCCCTGAATTTTGTGGCACCAAGGTCTCTTGTGGAGCCCCAACACCAGTTCTTGCCTGCATTCCCTTGGCGGGGGAGAGGTCTTGCTGGGTAGTGTCTCCTTCTGTCTGTTTTCACATCCAGTTGTTTCTAAATCCTACTAGGATGTCAGAACCAGGCTCACTGTCCCTCCTGTGGTTGCCATGGTGTAGTCAGCAACTGCTAACTGGGCTGCACTATACCAGTTACCTGAGGACACAACCCCATTGGACTCTCGTGGCACTCTTGCTAGAAGCTTTCACTGCCCTCATTTTCCAGAGCATGACATTGTAGCTCAGAGAGGTCAAGTGACAGGCCCAAGGTCACACACACAGACACAGCAGTTGAGCAATGGAGTAGCAGTTCCAATTTATGTCTACATGACTATGAAGTCTGTGTTCTTTCTAATGGCCTGAGGAGAAGACTGAGCCCCTAGCGGGAGAAGACATTCCATTCTCTACATTCAACAGGTTCAAGCATTGGGGTGAAGACTGGAGGAGGGTCTCCTGATGCCCTGGGACCTTTTTGTCTTCATGGGGTCCCTTGGGGAGACTTGGATAGCTGCTGTGTGTAGCTGTGCATGCAGGCAGGGCCTTGCAGCAGTATTACCTAAGCACATGTGTCCATGTGCAGGCATGCATAGCAGTGCAAGCATGTGTATGGATATGTGTCTTCATGCATCATGTATGTGACTGTGTACCTGCACATGTGTGTAGCTGAGTGTGCCTATGTGCACAGGCTGGGTGTACAAGTGTGTTTCCATGGAAGGTTCTTGTGTACAGCTATGGTGTCTATATCTGAGCGAGTGCCCAGGTATATTTTGTGAGTGTATACATGTGTGTGTATACCTGAGAGTGTCTGTGTGAATGAACACAGCCAGGTGTGCCTGGGAGAACCTTGCAGAGCAGAACATAGCAGGGCCCCCATAGTAGCCTCCTGGGCCTGTCTTCCTCTCAGCTCCACTGAGATCATTGCAGAAGCTGGGCTGAAATGGAACCCCCAGACAGAGAACCCCACTCCTGATTACAGGGAGGGCCCCGGGTCTGCAGGCAGGAACAAGGCAAGGTAGCATGTGGCCTCACAGTGAGGACACAGGTGCTCGGGGCAAGACGAGTTGAAAGCCTTTCTTGTCTCTGTGCTCATATGCTAGAGGATGCTGGGAGTCCAAAGCTGCCATGATGGGCCAGGCTGCTGGCCTGGAGGGGGATTTCCATCAAGCCAGGCCTAGTAGAGGGGTCCCTGACACAAGACAGATGGGACCTGGCAGGCTCAGGGTGCCAGCTCTCCACATGATGCTCAGACTCTCTGGGCCTCAGCCTTCATCAGGCAATGCAATGAGGAGCCATGACAGCCACAGACTGACTCTAGGACCCAAGTCCCGTAACGACAGATAACCTGATCAGAAATCTTGTAGGGATGGGATGTGCTGGGGGGAGTGGGGATGAGGAAAGGGGCTGATGAGGGGAGCGGTTTGGGAAGGGGGCCAAAAAAGCAACAAAGGCTTGGGAAGAGAGGCAGAGGGAGAAAACCTACTCTGCAGACTTCCAGAAATGTCCGGGGTGAGACAGGCGGCGGTTTCGCTTTGGCAGTTTCTCCAGCATGTCCATGAGCTTGGTGAAGGTGGGCCTCTCTTCTTGTTCAAAGGCCCAGCAGAAGAGAAGGATGTCCTAAAAGAAACCAGTGAGTGAACATAAACAGTGACTTAATTATTCCCTGGTACCTCACTGGGTCTACCCACCTGTCCACCCATCTGCCCACTTCCCGATCCCTCCATCATTCACCCATTCACCCGCCAAGCATCCATCCACATCAATGCACTCAGCCACCTTTCATTTATCTTCCATCTCTCCACCCCACCTACTTTCTGAGCCCAAGTAACAAACCAGGCTTCTATGCTAGAAGGCCTGGGATACATCATGATCAACAATGTTTCCCAAGAGATTTCTGGGCACTTTTCTAAAAAGTCCTGAGGTCTCCAGCCACATCCCAAGAATCTAAGTACCTTTCAAGGCCAGCTACTTTGTGTAATTTCCTCACCCAAGAAAGGAAACTTAGAGGTGGGTAGTCCTGACAACGATACCAGATAATTACTGATTCCCTGACTTATCTGTCTTCTGATCAAAAGAGAGGATTCTTCCTGCTGTGTTTAAGAGGAAGATTATTAACTTATAGTCAGGCTTTTCTGTTTCTGTATCTGTTGTTCTGAGTTGGATAATGCCTTAAAATTATTGTGCCGATGAAAATAAAATTAACACCAAAACATTTTTGATATTTTAATGACTATCTTTAAAAATATAACAAAAAAGGAAGGGCTCTTCTATCTGACCTAGCAATCCATTGCTGGGAAAAAAACTTGACCAAATGTTACTCTGCCTCTAGTGGCAGGCACCTGAAATTGCAGGCATAGTTCAGAGCTTTTTGCCTTCTAAGCTCCAAACTGTTCTAAACTGCCACCTAAAAAGGCTGCAGGGGATGCTTTTTTTGGTCACCTCACACAGTTCAAAAGGAAGTCTGGGTCTGCATCTCCTTTTCCCCTTGACCCCCAGACCCGGTCTATTGTGGGACTTACCGAGATTTCTTTTCCCATGCCGATCTGGCTGAGGTTGGGTTTCATCCCTGTGCCCATCTGCCAGATTATGGCCTCTGCTGGTTGGGTCTTGAAAGGCCACTCTCTGGCATGGAGTTCGTACCAGATTGTGCTGTTGGCAGATGTTTTATAGCGGTGTTGGTGTGGCAGGTCACTTGTGACCTTGGAGCCCCTGCTCACCAACACCCACCCAGCCAGCCAGCCTCTAGGCTGACCAGCTGACCAGCTTCTTCCTTGCAGGATTGGCATATTGTCCCCCAGGACATGCTTGAAACTCTTAATGTCTTAGGCCTCATGCTTGTCCCAGGATACCTTCTTTGGTGCCTGAGTTAAAATGAATCAAACTGTAGATTCTGGGCAGTTTAATATGATGTGGTTACAACCTTTGACTGTGCATTTGTAATTCTAGGAAAAACCACTGTAGGTGAATGATTTGGGATAATGATATTCATTAATAAGGATGTCCTCTACAGCATTATATATAATATTGAAAGAAAGCAGAAATAATTGCTCAACAATAGAAACAACTGCTAATAATAGGAATTGATTGTACATATCATGGCAAATTCATAGAATGAAATGGAATGTTATATTATTATGAAAACACTTCAAAGAAATTATACTGACATTAAGACGCTCAACAGATCATTTTAAAAATGAAACAAGCAGGATGTGAGATTATATAGATAGGGTCTGATGTTGCTCTTTTTAAAGTCAGATATGTACGGATAAGAGAAAAAGTGAAACACCCCAAATGTGAATAACAGAGAACTCTGGATGTTAGGGTAGGATTTCTTTCCCCTTTCGTATCTGTGTTTCTTAAGTGTGAACCTGAGTGTTGAATGGTAGAGAGAAAGAAAAAAAGAGATTTGAGAATCAGACTGGTTGTATTCTATCCTAGCAGTACGAGGCTGTGGAGGGCGCTTCTCTAAACCTGCGGAGGTTTCCTTGGCTGTTAAGTAGAATAGCAGTAAAAGTGCTGTAGGACAGCGTTTATCTGGGATGCTGAACACCAGACCCATTCGGTGTTAGAATTATCCTTGAGTGATTTCCTGGGTTATCATCTGTTTTATAAATCAGGACATTGTAATGAAGGAAGAAATGATTGCTCCAGTGAGCAGCACTTGGCCATGGATGGGGCAGTGCACAGATGATGCCGGGAGGCCTGGGCAGCATGGGGACAGTGACAGATGAGCACAGGATGCTGGGTGTCACTGAGCTGTACCAGGGAGATAGATCTCAGTTCTCTGAGACCCAGATTCCCCAACTCAGGAAATATCTGAAACAATCTTAGGAAATGATCTCTCCTCCACTCTGAGATAATTTATGTAAATGTGCCTGAAAGAACACAAAGCACTCTGTTTTTCTCTTCACTGCTCAGAAGACTGTGTAAACTAACTGTTCTTAGATGCTCAATCAGCATCATCTTTTTACCTGACCCCACACACCTCTGGACTTGGCAGGGGTGATGCTTAGGTGTTGGCATATTGGGTTAGAGGGCAAGGAAGTCCTCTAAAGAAAGTGCTATGTGATTCTAGTTATCCTAATAAACAATAATGCTTATTATTCCAAGTTAGATATTGTTCTCAACTCTTTGCTGGGGAGGTGCATGAAGCATGCTTTCTTCTCCTCATGCTTTGACTACTTGAGCCCTTGCTGAACCTGGTGAGTCTGTTCCTCCCATAGCAGCTCATTCCTGTAGACAGAAAGAACTCACTGGTGAGTGGACCTTTCACTCCAGATCACAACCCCCAATACTTCTTATACTGGGACTTCACCCCCAGGGCCAGTGTTCCCCAGGCCTTACACTTGGAGCCCACTGAAATTATCCCAAGTACCTGATTCTGCGCCTGCTCACTGTGCTGCCCCCCCTACCCACCTGCTCCTTCCAGAAGAAACCTCAAAGAAAGGCTCTTGCCCACCTAATCTTCCTGCTCCCTCTGCCTCCTGATCAACACTTCCCCACGGGGCCTCTGCATAGCTCGGAGTAGACCATTTCTTATGGGATCTGTGAGTGACAAACCATCTTTTCAACAGTGATTGTCTCCTCATCTGTCGGCCTCATCATACCTGAATAATAATTAAACCTACACCTTAAAGCAGGAGACGTTATTGTTATCCTCACTTCATGGATGAGGAAACAGGCTCAGAAAAATTCTATCTTACCCAGGATCACACAGCAAAGAAGAGGGACAGCCAGAAGTGGGATCTAGGTCACCTGAGTCCAGAGCTGTGCCGCTGGTCAACACACTGTACCAGGGAGCTTATACTCCATCCCATTCAAGAGTTCCTTGCCATCAGGGAAGTGACAATTTTGAGGTGCAACCTAGCAGCTGATGGTTGGAGCTGGCAAATGAGTTACAAATGGGTTGCACGGACAACTTGTGTGGAGGGAGGAGGTCCCTTTCCAGAGTGCTTCCTTGTGCTTGGTACCTTAGAGATGCTTTCTTGCTCAATTCTTCTGATGCCTCAATGGGTCTCATTATCTTTGATTTACAGCCGAGAGCAGCAGGGCTGTGAGTAGTGGTGTAACTCCCAAGCCCATGGAGGATCCATGGTTAAAAGCTCCAACTGTGGAGTTTGGATGTTGCCGGTTCAAATCCCTGCTCCACTACTAATTGCAATAAAGCAAATTCTGGAGTCATTTGCAGCCTCAAATTTCCCAGCTTCCAATTGGAAATAACATGATACCTTCTTTGAAGGGTGCTTATAAAGGCTGCATGAGACAGCACCCATAAACAGCTTAACACAGTGCTCAGCACACTTTTAAAAGGTCATTTCTGAGGGGCTAGGGATTTAGCTCAGTGGTTCTACCTCCTGCCTTGCAAGCACAAGGACTGGAGTTCGATCCTCAGTACAAAAAAAAAAAAAGTTCATTTCTGTTCTCAGTCATCCCTGAGCCTGAGGTTCCCAAGCAACAGGATGCTCCTAACTGGCAGGAATCCAAGAGCGCCAGGTCCGTTGCAATTTAGCAGTGTCAGAAATAAAAGCCTCATTAAAATTTCCTTTCAAACCCAACTTTTGAGAGAAATTCACTTTGAGGAGAAAAAATATTGCTAAAGGATGAAAATTCCAGTGGAAAACCAATTACTCACTTTGGTACATTTTGTTAATAACATTTTTTTTCTTTTGCTAAATTTATACTACACTATACCAACGTAATTATTGCAATTTGGTTTCAGATAACGATGTCTAACGAGATAAAGATTTGGGCATTAACTAATCAGGACAAGTGGCAGCCTCCAGAGGGGCCCAAGCCACAGATGCTGAGAACTGTGATCTTCCCACAAACGCCCCCGTCGGAGCTGATGGTGAGGATACGGGGGATACTCTTCCCCTGAAAACTGTTTCTCTAACAGGGCTCAGTGGTGTGAAGTCTAATTGCACACATCTACAGCCCTGCAACTCTCCCAGGCAGCTTTGCCAGCCCTGTGTCCCCCGGCTGGCCCTTGCCCCCAAGCCATAGCAAGGCAGGGCAAGGATTAGCATGGTCATTGGAGGGATGGCAGTGTAGAAGCTCTCCTGGTGGCACCTTCTCAGAGTGCTCTGCCCTGCATCTTGGACTCTTAATGTCCTTCCCCCCTTTCGAAGACATCGCCTCCTCTCTCGTGGCTCTAGTTACTATCTATCTGCCCACAAATCCTCATGCTTCTTTCCTAAGCTCTAGAAGTGTGGATTCAGTTGCTGGCTGGCCAGTTTTCATGGTTATCTCCAATGCTGCTCAAACTCACTGTGTCCAAACTGACTTGTTTGCCTTTCTGGTACACACCAATCTACCTCACCTTCAGAGTCTTTATCTTGGTGCATGACGCCCCTCTCTACCCACTTGGTTAAGGCAGATATCTGGGTACCACTTACGTTCACCCTATCATTGAGCACTAATACTTCTATCCCCTAAATGCTTCTTCCATTTATTCTCAACCTGCAGAACTCCAGGCACAGGTTCCAAGGAGGCTGCCACATGTTCCCTACAGTGTGACCACCCAGTCCTGGTCATGTGCTTCTCCATTCCATTCTCTACACAGAGTGATCGGCTTGAACCAGGACTCAGTTATAACTTCGCCACTTCTCTGCTTCCTAACCCTCAAAGGTTCCCTAGTACCCAGGACAGGAAGTGAAAACTTGCTAATTGCAGGATTGACCTTACTTCCCTCTCTGGTCTCTCATCCCACCACCCCCAGCCTCACTTTTTCCCCAGCTCTTCATCCATTAGCTCCCTTTTTTGTCCCCCACCAGTATTTTTCCACTGTGGGCAACATGTTCTCTTTTACTTTTATCCCTTCTCACACATTCCCTCTGTCTGAAACACTTCTCTCTACCCTTATATCCAACCTCTAACGTGGGCCCAAGAGTCATCTCCAGGAAGCCCTCCCTCACAGCCCAGGGTGGACCTCGTTCCTTTTATGTCCTCACAGTGTTATTTCTCCTTAGCACAACACGTACGACCCTTTGCTAAACCTGACTGTTTCCTGTCTGTTTCCCACCAGCAAGAAAGAGTAAGGACCTGTAACAAGCTTAAAATGTGTCTAAGCCAGATGTTGTGGTGCATGCCTGTAATCTAACCACCAAGGGCTGAGGCAAGAGAATTGAAGTTTGAGTCCTGCCTGGACACTTAGCGAGACCCTTTCTCAAAAACAAACAAACAAACCCCTCAAAAACTAAAAAAGGGCTGGGGATGTAACTTAATAGTACAGTGCCCCAGTACTGCAAAAATATAAATAAATAAAATTAACAAAATAAAATATGTCCACACAAATTCTTTGATACTCTTTCCTTGAAATGTAAGAGTTTAATTTTCTTCTGTTGAGTGTGGTTGGATTTAGCAATTTGTTTCCAAGTAAAAATATGGTGGGAGCACGCAATGTATTTTTGTTAACTGTAGTCACCCTGATTATGTGATACATCTGGAACAGAGGGTTTTAAATACTCTCATCATAAAGAAATAATAAATGTTTATGGTGACAGATACGCTACTTAGCCTGACTTGATCATTATACAATGTGCACCTTACTGAAAGATCACAGTGTACCCTATATGCATACACATAGTTATTGTGCATCAATCAAGAAATAAATCCTTGCTAAAGGAGTATGTGGTGGAAGTGATGCTATGTACCATCTGACAGTAGGTCAGGTCATAGCCCAGCCCCATGCCTTGAGCCCACTCAAGCCGCAGGTGAGAGCCGTGAGGAACAGAGGTTTCCTCCTGTCTCGGCCATGGTGTCTCAGCCCATCGAGCCTTCTGATGAGACAGATACCCTGGCTGACATCCAGACTCCAACCCCAGAAGAGACCTGAGCTAGCCCAGAACCACTTAGCCTAGCTGTCCCAACTCCTGACCACAAAATGTGAGATAATACATGCTCTAGGTTGCTGAGTTTTGGAGAAATTTCCTATGCAGCACTAGATAACTAATAGAAGACTGAATCTTGTATCCCCAGCATTCACTGCAGGCCTAGCACTCAGCAGGCATCCAGTAAATAGCTACTGAGGAAGTTAGGAAACTTGTGTTGGCAACACAGCCAGTTAGAAGCTAAGTGTGGATTAGGGTTAGGGTTGGGGCTAGTGCTAGTGTCACCCCACTCAGATTCTCCCAGTCTCACTCAGAAATCAAGCCCCATACACGGATGTCCCAGTCCTTCCAAAACAATGAAAGGAAGGCTTGGGAAGTACCCTCTGCCCAGGCTGTGGCTCTTGAAGGCCAGGATTGGGTCCACCTACCCGAGGGCAAAGACGTCAGAGTGCTTGGAGAAGGGAAGCTTGTCTTCCTCTGTGTCGGGGGACAGCTGGCGGATGATTTCTGGTGCCAGGTGGCACAGCCAGCCATTCTGGATGCGCAGTTTGTCCTCTCTCCTGCAGAAGCAAAGCACAGAATGAGCTTCAGTTCCCAGCATGGGAAGGACAGGTCCCCAGGCCCCAGAATTATCTCTGTTGCCCTTCCTGCTTTCCTCCTCTGGGCCCCGCCTGACCTCCTACTTGAGACCCAGACCCAGCAGGAGATGCAGGGAAGTGGCCTGGAGAGAGGCACTGGCCACACAAACCATCCTCAGCTCCCATGGCCTCTGTGCACCCCTCCTGTTCACCTTCACCTGACCAATACCCCCAATTCTTGTTCTGCACAATATCTGCCTTCATGCGGTATTTGCATCAAGTTGCCGGAAACACTGAATTAGCAAATACTAAATCATTGCTCCTCGGGAAAATGCGTACACACACAAATCGCACACCGATTATGACCTAAAATCTTAAAAACTCCCAGGAGATTCTGTTTTCTTTATTTCACAAAATAGAACATGGGCTGGATTTAGTGATTCTTCTGAAGATCTCCATCAGCAGAAGTCTGAAATGGCTCTGACAGTTTCCAGAGCTGGGATTTCAACCTGTCCAAGTGGCCCTAGGGCTGCTCTTATGACACCCACTCTGCCCCTCTGTCTCATACTCTGGACGGCTCTGCATGAGGCCAAAACAGGAAGGCAGAGTGACCCTTTGTTTGACCTCCCCTGGGAATGTGTGCATTAGGTGACTCAAAGTTTTCACCACTCTGCATGTCTGTGAATGACTGCAAAAGGGGTGTGAGTATTGATTTTGGGATAACAAATACATCTCAGGGAGTAGGCAAGTTTACACATATGGAATCCATCAACAACAAGGTCTGACTGTGTTTATTGATCACCTACTTATGCTTTGGTTCTGTTCTTGGCACAAGGGACAAGCCATGCATGCAACAAACAGTCCCTGCCCTTGCACTTAGGCAGGAAGGAGACAACAAATGCATCAAATACAAGCCAGGTGCACTGGTGCACACCTGTAATCCCAGCCCTCTGGGAGGCTGAGGCAGGAGCACCACAAGTTTGAGTCCAGTCCAGGCAACATAGTGATTTAGTGAGATGCTGTCTCAAAATAAAAAATAAAAGAGTGGAGGATGTATCTCAGTGCAAAGGCCCTGGTTTCAACCCCAGGACTCTGTGTGTGTGTGTGTGTGTGTGTGTGTGTGTAGTGATAAATGTTATACAAATAACTAAGATAGGGAAATGTGCACATGATAAGGAGGAACTTACTTTAGGTAAAATATGAGCTAAGATCTACATGACACAGGAGATTCAATCATATGAACTTAGAGAAGAATATCCTAGGCAGAGGGGAAGCAAGGACAAAGGCCAGGCAGGGCCCATTGGTGTTCTGGAAACCTGAAGCACACCAGTGTACTCGGAACCCATCATAGGCCCTGTGTGCTGTTTGTGCATCCAGCTGCTTATTGATGGGCCCTCGTCAGTTCCTCCTTTCATCGTTATAAACAATGCTGCAATGAACATCTTCGAGTAGACAGAATATCTCTCTTTTTCCCAATCTACAATTACTAGGAGAAATGCTTAGGAGGGGAGGGAGACTGGCTCCCTTCCCTACATGGGAAGTCCTTAGTGAGTCAGAGCTTTCCTTCATACTGACATCTAAGCAGAATGTCCACAAGGTTGCCACTGATTGCAGACTCCTAGAAAAGGGCCAGGAACCCTGGGGAAGTGGGCAGGGCAGGAGAGGGGGAAGATTAAGAATGAGAGCATGCAGCACCCAGCCTCCATGAGGGCCTCTGTGGGGGCCTGGGGCTGGCTGGAGTCTGCCATTTTTCGGGAGTGCATTCACTCCTTTGTCTCGCACAGTCATGACTTTCATTGTATCTCCTTCAAGAGGACCAGGGTCCCGAAGAACATTCCAGCAAGATGGCGCTGTTTATCACGGTGGCTGGTGGCTGCCAAACACTTGAAAGGTGGCCAGTGTGACTGAAGGGCTAAAGTTTCCATTTGATTTCATTTTAATTAAAATTAAATTTACTTAGTCTTACATAGCTCACGGCTAACAAACTGCACCATACAGATTTGGATGATTATTTACTAAAGATGAATTTCCCCCTTATAATTTTAACAGGTTACTCTTTGGCATGGCCACAAATGGAAACTTGCCCTTTTCTAATACACATTAAAATTAAAATGGGAAATTTCTGTTCATGCCCTCCCTAAAACTAACTTGCTGGCTGTGCTTTCAGAAGCCCTAGGTAGAGGAAAGAACTCCGAATGAGACTCCAGGAGTTTAGAACTTGGGGTTCCAGTGCTGCTGTGGCATTTGCTAGCTGGGGGAGGAGTCGGGTGTATTCCAGGCTTGTGGGTCCCTAAGGTGGCTTTCTTCCCCCTCCATTTCTTACATGTGAAGCAGCATCCCTTTGGAGGCACTTGAGCTGCCCGAGATCTCAAAACAGGCATTCTGGGCAAGAAGCAAAGTTGAGCAACTGCTGTAGTCTCGACCTTCCATTCTGCTTGGACAGTGGCTTAGCATAGGTGAGGCACTGTAGGACACTGGCCATCTGTCCAGCTTCTGTGTTCTCACACTGGGACTGGGCTGGCGTACATGTGACAGTAGCAACGTGGTCAGGTGGATACTGCCTACTTACTCTAATGTTTTTTTTTGGGGGAAAACCAGCTTCTGTTGAGAATTACTGCTCTAATTTATATAAGATCAGGAAAGGGTCCACATTTTAGGGTTTCAGTATCAGTAGCACATGACTTGCTCCTGTGTTCTGCACAAAGAATACAACCTCTGCTAGAAAACAGGACTCAAACCCACCTGCAAACCCTAGAGGTGGTAGCATTGAAGGAATTCTTTCTACCCAAATCAGGGACACCTGCAAAGGTTTAAGAATCCATTTGTTGTTTATTAACTGTGGGACTCTGACCAGATCTGAGCCTCCGTTTTCCCATCTGCAATATGAGTGCACTGGGTTGTACTTCACATGGCTATTGCAGGGATTAAAGTGAGGCAGCGCACGAACAAGGTTAGGTCAGCTGCCGGAGTGACATGATTATTGGGCATAATTACTATGTGTGTGTATATATATTACACATTTTATCTTGAGGACTCAGAGACGGAGTTGAGACTAGACCCTAAAGTAAGAATATTCTTCAAGGCACAGGGCCTCAGAGTGGGCCAGCCAACATTCTTCTGGCATTGGCAGGCCAGTGGGGGAAGGCGTATGGATGCTGTGGCTCCAAGGGCAAGCTTCTCTGCCCCTTGACTTTCTCTTCCTGCCTTGCTGGTCAGCAGAGGACCGGTATGACAAAGCCACTGAGGCAGAAGGAAGAGTGTGGCCACATAATTACCATCAGCCTGGGGGAGGCACGGGCACATGGCTGGGAGGGGGCCAGAAGCCAGGCCTAGCACAGACACCCCAGCGCGTCCTGTTTCCATGGCAACAGGCCCACCAGTGACAAACCCAAGTTATCTTCATTATGGTTATTATTATGATTCATAACAGGCTGCCAGTGGCTGGCACGATAGGGCTGGCATCTCAGATGACACTTTTTCTTGATGGCAGAACAGCTGTACACTGAGTTCTGTCTGGATGCACAGAACATGCTCATTGGGCCATCTCTGTCCCTGCCCCAGGCCAGGCGAGTCTCCCCCTGGTGAACGCCTACTGAATGCCAGGTTGTTAATGCCCATAGGCCCACACTCGGAGAGACACCATCTCTATCTGCAGATGAGGAAACAGGCTCAGAACATCTCAGTGACCTGCCCAGTTCTTCAGCCCCCAAGACTGGACTCCCCACCACAACCCCCGAGAGTTCCTGGGTGGAATCAGCACCCCTGGGGAGCAGAGAACAAAGAAGCCCTCCTGGTCTCTGCCCCTCTGCCCCATTTCATCTCTAAAGCAGCTGTCTGAGGTAGTACTGCTAGGGCCTGCCCCACCCCCTTTTACAGGCAGGGAAACTGAGGCTCAGGGAGTCAATTCAAATAAGCTTTGGTCATCTATCTTCTGGTGTTTGAACTGAACTGTGTCCCCACTTTGAAATTCATATGTTGAAACCCTAACTTCCAATGCGGCTGTAATTGAAGACAGGGCTTTGGGGGACGTAATTAAGGTTCAATGAGATCATAAATCCAGGGCCCTAATCTGATAAAACTGGTGTCCTTATAAGAAGGAGAAGAGACATCAGATCTCCAGGCCATGCGAGGACATGGCTATTTATAAGCCAGGAAGAGAGCCCCCACCAGAAACCAAGCTTGCTATGCCTTGGTCTTGAACTTCAAGCTCCCAGAAAAATCAGTGCTTATTGTTTAAGCCACCAGGCTGTTGTATTTTGTTATAGCAGCCCAAGCAGACCGATACACTCCTAAGTACTCACTACATATTTAAAATCGAAGACATGAGTGAGGGGACTTCCAGGCCTGGTTCCTACGACTGATGCCTCTGCTCCCCACAATGTCTGCAGCCTGGCAAGCTCCCCACCCTCTCTCTCTCCTCTGTCTTCTACCACCTGCCCAGGCTGCCAATTGGGTCCCAGGGATACCCCATGGTCAAGGGGATCTCCTGGTCTCCAACTGCTATGCTGGGAGGTTTCAGTCTGAACTTGGGGCACTTCCGGTCTGGAGATACCTATTCACCAATGGGAGGCAGGAAACCATGACATGAACCCCTAAAGGGGACCCCATAGATCCCCAAGGCTGCACTAGAGGCAAATGCTGGCTATTAAATGGGAAAGACCCTGGGACTCCTGGGGCACCCAAAGAGTTCCATCTTCCTGTCATGGTCCCCATCCCTGCTATGTGGTAGATAAAAGACAGCTGGAGTCTTTGTTGTCTCTCTCCCTGGGAGGTAGAGCCTAATTCTGCTTGCCTTGAACCTTGCTGGTCTGCAACAGGATGTGGTAGAAGGAATGTTCTAGAATTTCTTTTTGTTTTGTTTTGTTTCTTTTTTTGAGTTAGGGCCTCCCTTTTTAGTTCAGGCTGGCCTTGAACTGATTATGTAGCCCAGGCTGGCCTTGAACTTAGAGCAATCCTCCTGCCTCAGCCTCCTGAGTGCTGAGATTATAGGCATGTGCTACCACACCTGGTATTCTAGGACTTCTGAAGCAGATGCAGAAGGCTTCAGCATCCACTTGGGGCCTGTGTATGCTCCATCTGGTGGAACCTAATTGCTCTAAGGGGTCTGGTTACCCTGAGAACACTATGGTGTGAGGAACCCAAGTGTGGTCATGTAGGGGGTCTGCATGGAGAAAAGAGGGGGCACGAAGAGGGAGGGAGGGAAGAGGAAGGAGGAGGAAGGTAAGTCCCATCAACTCCCCAGCTGTCCCAGCCATGCCAGCTGTTCCAGATGTGAGAATAAGGAAGCATCAGGTGACTCCAGCCTCAATTCCCTCAGACTGAACCTACAAGATAGCATGATCCCAAAAGCTCAGCTGAGTCCAGTCACCCTGCAAAACAATAACAACAATAATAACTTGTTTCACAGGATCAAGTTTTGGGGTGGTTGGTTACACAATAATTCACAACTGGGACAAGGTAAAAGCACAGGAAGCCCCCGATGGCTGCTTGCAGGCAGCTGGGAGGTGGGAACTTCCTGTGGTAGCCTCTGTGGAGGCTCCTGGCCTCTCCTGACTCTAACTGGATTTGTGCTGATGACCAGGCTGGGGTGGAGGTGGAGATGGGGTGCTGTTGGACAAGGCTGAAGCCATTTTGTCCTTAACTCGAACTTCTATCAAGGTCGGTCCCATTTCCTCTTCTTCCTCCTTCTCTCTGGGTGGCTTCAGCAAACCAATAGTCTAAAGGGAGGAAATCAGAGGCCATGCACCCTGGCTTCCACCTGGGGAGAATCCACTTGGGGGGATTGGAGAGCATAGACAGGCCCCTAGAAGGGAGGAATCTGGTTTGTCAAAGAGGCCTCAACCAAGACAAAGAAAATACTTGCTGGGCCTCCTTTTTTCTGGAGATAAATAGCTGGGGTCACAGTGACGGCCCCAACTGCTTCCCCCGCCATGCCCTTAACCCGAGTGGTTCCTCCAACAGCAAAGCAGCCTGCAAGTGGTGGTGGGAAGGAGGAGCCGTGCACAATCTGTCCCTGCGGTCCCCTTGGGGATGCTCTCCACAGGTACACGATCTGTTGCCTGGTTTACTGTCACTTCTTTTTTCTTTTGTTTCGTGGTACTGGGGATTGAACCCAAGGCCTTCACACTAAGCTATATTCTCATCCCTTTTTTACTTTTTTATTTTGAGACAAGGTCTCACTAATTGCTCAGGTTAGACTTGAACTTGCAATTATTTTCTTATCTCAGGCACTGTAGATGGTTTTGGTGTCCATGGAAATCCTTTTTCTGTAGGATAACATCTGAAAAAGAACCTGAAGCTTCTACATATGTTGCCATGCCACACAGAAATGGTGCCATCAACTTTTGCCAAATTTCAGGTCATCTGGTTTAGAGGGAAGGTATTATACAGCAGGAATAAAATTCCCTTCAGGGGGCCCTGGTGTGTACCTCAGAGAAGTCGGTGGTTCTCCAAAACAGCTAAAAGTGACATAAAATAAAAGAAATCATGGGGCTGTCCTGGAGAAGCAGGCCATTCGTTTCAAGATGTGCAATCAGAAAAGACATACAAGGGTTTAAAGTGCGTGCGTGTGTGTGTGTGTGTGCGCGTGTGTGCACGCACGCACGCATGCGTGTACGAGCATGCACTACAAAGTAAAAGCCACAGGGTGGTCCTTGTGAATTATGGGTTGTTTATTTGGTGTCAAGCTGCTTCTCCCATGGTCAACCCAATGTAGCTTGCTTTGGGGCAAGTGGAGTCTGAGAGGTAATCACTTAAGGAGATGGCTAATCTTTCTCCTGGGTGATACAGGGAGGTATATGCAAATTAACACTAATTACCACAACTCAGCAGTGCTACTGTTTTGTTAGGCATTTGATGGGCACTGGGCGCTGTGTGGGATGTTTATCTTGTGACATCTTCACAAGGACCCTACAGGTAGGTATGGTTTTCTTGTAGTCAAACAAACTAAAGTTCTGAAAAGTTGTGTGCCTTGATTAAAGTAACAGTTAGTAAGTGGCAGAGTCACGTTGGACTCCAGGTGGTTTCATTTTAAATTCCTTGCTCTTGGCTGTGCTCTTGCTGTACTAAAATTAATTAGTTCGTAAGACAACTTTGAGCAAGGACTCCTGGGTGAACCCAACTCCCAGGGAGTCTCAGGGTAAGAGGAAAGCTCTCCAGTTAAATTCAAGGGCAAGGTCTTTGTAGGATTTAGGATGCTCTGTGCCCAGTGATGTGCATGCCCTGCAGACTCCATGTGCAGGACAGGTGAGCAAGGTGCTGGCCCCACGGGGACTAAAGAGTGACTTTGGCATCCCTCATTGGCACAATAGCCTTGCCACTGAGCTCAGTGACCCAGGCCCAACCCTGACTCCCAAAGCCATTTGGGATGAGTTCCTACCCCCTGATGGTCATCTGCCAAGAATCCCTCTGGCCCTTCTGCCACCACTCACCTGCCAGCTTGCAGCACGCCGGAAATGCTGAAGAGCCCAAAGTCTGTGATGACTACTTTGCCATTGTCATAGAAGACATTCTTTGATTTGAGGTCCTTGTGAAGTATTCCCTTGGCGTGCAGGTAGCCCATGCCCTGCAGGAAGCAAGGACACCGGGAGTTGCCTGAGAAGACCTCCATGCTCAGTCACCCACATCCGGGTTCACACTCCTTGCTCCTCAGTGAGACCACACTGACAGTAGCGGAGCCTGGGGGCCACCTATTGGGCCTGAAGGTGGGGTGGGGGAAGGCACGGTCCCTGCATAACAAACCTGCCACTACCCTCAGACCACTGTAAAGCCATCTCCATTTAGCTTTTCTGGTTCCTAAAGAAGCAAAAGAAGAGGTCCCCAGAGGGAAAAGAGTGGGGACAAATGTGGGATGAGGTCCCTGGAGAAAGGAATTCCATCAGCCATTGTTTGTCCCCCAGCCCTCCATTAAGGCTAAATCCTCTGTGGGGCTTGCTCCCCCTGTTCACTTCACCTATGGCCCTGCAGAACACATCTAGGTCCTCAGGGATGTTTCCCGACACAGCAATCAAGAACACACAGCAGAGTCTATTGAAGGTCTAGTTCAAGAGCGAACATCTAGATATTGTTTTTGTTTTCTGTGGGCAGTCACGTCTTTTATTTCTTTTTACAATTCAGTCCTGACACTTCCAATGGGAAGTAAAACCCTGAGGACAACTGACTAATAAGGCACCTGTGAGGAGACACAGGATGTTCCTGTTTGTTTTAATCCAAAACAACAACCAACAATTTGACATTTCCCCACAGCTGTGGAGAGAGATAGCTTGCACTTGTGGGGATTCAAGGACTCAGAGATAATGGATCCTAACCTGGAGAACCAACCAACTTACATGTGTCCACTGGCCTTCTCGAATGTCCACATATCATGATAATGAGAGACTAGATGGAAGCCAAACATTGGTAGGCCATTCCTAAGGGTGCCATCTTGGTAGAATTCTTATATGCACACCACCTGGTATTTTTCTGTCTAATTTCTCTGAAGTCCAGACCATGGTCTATACCCAGACCTAGAGTCTCAGGATTTTGGGGAGAAAGGGTCAGGTCTTTCAGAAGCTCAGGTAGGGGTCCCAGAGCCTACAGTACCTTCACAATTTCTTGTGCAATCTGCCTGGTTTTGTTGACATCCAACACAATCTTGGCATCCCTCACTACAGAGTAGAGTGTCCGTCCCTTACAGAGGCTGAAAAGCAAAAGGACAAGATCATTTATTAAAATTTTTGGCAGTCACTAAGAAGAAGGTGACCCATCACAGTTATTAGAAGTCACAAATAATGGAATGGACGTGCCACTCTTGTGCCTATGAGAAAATTAACAGGCCTGGGACTGGCTCTCAGAGCTGGTTCTGGGATGAAAATCTGGGGAGGTTCAAGAACTTCAACAGTTTCTCGGTTGCAAGGACATCTCCGGAATCCAGCTCAGGGCAGCCTGGGTTTGCCAAGCCATTGATCCTAGGGTCTTACAGGTGGGAAGCTGTGCATAAACCAACAACTTATGGGTCCTCAGATGCCACTCAGACAGCACTCTGCAGGCCATTTGTCCCCACTGCTTGCATCTGTGGGGAGTGGCTCACGTGCAGGGAGAGTGATGAAAGACCTGCAAGGCGAGGCTGACGTGTGCTCAGTATCACCATAAATGATGCATTCAGCCCTTCAGATGAGGGTATGTAAACACCAATAATATGGCCCCCAACCAGACGCCTGTCCAGATAGAGGGGTTTTCAAACTATTTTCTGCCTCATTGAGCTCATTTTGAGGACCAGTGGCTTAAGATAAACGACAAGTTGAAAAAGCACATTATGCAGTGGCAGCAACACCTTCTCATTTAGTTGCCACATGTTCATCTGTCCTGGGCCTGAGTCCTGGTGCACAGAGAGGGCATTCAATATGCAGTGAATGAATGAATGAATGAATGAACTGTAGATTCTCCACAGTGTCCCCAGTCCCTAGCACTGGGACTGCCTCATAGTAGCCAATGTTGGCTGAAAGAAGAGAGAATATCATTATGGAAATTAATTTTCCACCTACATCAAAATAACAGCTTGAATGTTTTTTCTCTTACTCTATGACTTTATCACTAAAATACTGGAGGCACTGTATTCATTCATTCAGCATTTATTGAACTCTTGTTGTACCCTAGACTTTGTGAGCTTGAAATTCCTGTGCAATATCAGAGGGATCTCAGTTTGAATCCCAGCACAGCCATGCGTCATGGGGTGAGTTACTTACCCTCTCCTTTGTTTCCTTTCCTTATCTATTGAAGGAAACTTTTGATACTTACCTTGTAGTTTAGAACAGGAACTGAATGAGATAAAGAGCTTGGCACAGTGCCTGGCACTTGGTGGGAAGCATGGCAGACGGTTGGGAGCACAGGGCTCTGGAGTCAATCTATGGGGTTAGGATCCTGATCTGTCATGTAGCAGCTATGTCACACCTGCACAGCTCAGTCAGCCTCTCTGAGCCTCAATGTGATTATCTGTAAAGTGGGCCTGAGTGTTCCTACCTCATAGTTATCAGGACAATCACCTGAGATCAGGTGTGGGAGTAAGTCCTCATGAAATGCTGGTTTATTAGGAGAGGTAGTGAATGATCAATAAAATGGTGAACACACAAACACACACACGTGTGCAAATATAAAAGTGATGTATTTATATGTTACATCTGTCTCCCTACCTAGTCAGTCTGTCCACCCACTCACATAGCCAGCCACATACCCTTCTCTCAAATGCTACCCTATAACCACCTGTGATCTTTGACTAAGACTCATTTCTTTTCACCTGTTTAAGGTGAGATTCCCAGGGCAGCTGACTCACAGGGAGCCTGATTCCCCTGTCCAAGGTCACCCAGTAAGTTGGAAGGAGGCAGCCCACAGTGACTCAAAGCTGTACCCCCCTTGGTGTCTGAGGCAGTGTGTTTGCTGAGCCTGCTGGAGGAGAGAAGGGAGGTGGGCGGAGCAGCCAATTAAGCCATATTGACATTTAAATATTCGAGATGGTGGAGACTGTGGGTGGATTTCCTCCCCTGGATACTCCGTTCTTGAACAGCCACCTACACTCATTATAGACCAGAGTCCTAACCACTACAGAAGGCAGAGCAAATCATCACAACGGGCTCCCAGATACCTGGAGCCACCGGACCAACCAACACTCTCTGGTGGGCGTATAAACTGGTGCAACCACAGTTTGGAACATCTACTAATGCAAGACATACAAATAACCTATGACCAGCAATTCCTTCCCTGAGGACATACCCAGCAGATGTGCATGTCAGAGTCACCCTGAAACATGTACTGGAATGTACTAAAACATTAGAAGCAACCCATCCTAATAGCCCCAAACTGGAGCCAGACTTCAATAGACTGATGAATTGTGTCTCCGTAAAATTCCCATGCTGAAATCCTCTCAATGGATGGTATTAGGGAGTGGGGGCCATGGGAGGTGATTGGGTCCTAATCACCCTAATGAATGGGATTAGTGACATTAGAAAAAGTACCTCCGAGAGAACTGTGACTCTTGACAAGAGGGAGGGTACAGTAAGCAAGTGGCCATCTACAACCCAGACAGGGCCCTCACCAGGGCTGGACCATGTTGGCATCATGCTCTTAGGTTCCAGCCTCCTGAACAGTGAGGAATAAACTTTTTATTGTTGATAAGCCACCCTGTTTGTGGTATTTTGTGATAACAGCCTGAACTCAGACACAACCCAAACGTTTGCCAGTAGAAAACTGGATAAATTGTGACATATCCATATAAAAATACATAAGCACTGCCCTATAAAAAAATGAACTATTACTAATAGCAAAAATAAAGGATAAGGCTGTGGACATAATACTGAAGCCAGGCACCCAAGAGTACTAAAAGATTCCATTTATACAAAGTGCAAGTGCAGTGAAAACCAATCTCTGTGCTGAAAGCTGGCACAGCGATGACCCGTGTGTGTGTGTATGTGTGTGTGTGTGTGTGTGTGTGTGTGGGTGGGTGGGTGGATGGGTGGTTACTGGGGATTGAAGCTAGGGTCTTTGCACTGTATTACATCCTAGGCTCTTTTTATTTTTTGAGACAAGGTCTTGATAGGTCTCTAAGTTTCCCAGCCTGGGCTTGAACTTGTAAGCCTCCTGCTTTAGCCTCCCAGAGTGTTGGGATTACAGGCCAGGGCCACCATGTCTGGTTTGTGTGTCATCTTTAAAAAGAATAGTTCACTTTTTAAAAAAATCAATGAGGGCAATTAGAGAAATGCAAATTAAAACAACACAAAGGTTCCATCTTACTCCAGAAAGAATGGCAATCATTAGGAAATCAAACAATAACAAATGCTGGTGAGGCTGTGGGGAAAAAGGAACCCTCCTGCATTGTTGATGGGAATGCAAACTAGTACAACTATTATGGAAATTAGTATAGGGATTTCACACAGAACTGAAATTAGAAATTTCATATGACTCAGCTATCTCCCTGCTAGGTATCTGCCCCAAAGAGTCTAAGTTGTTAAAGAATTTAAGTCGTCATACTACAGTGATACATGATAAAGAAAATGTGGTATTTATATATATAATGGAATACTACTTGGCTACAAAGAATGACACATTTGAGACATTTGTAGGAAAATGGATGCACCTGGAAAATATAATGTTGAGTAAAATAAACCAGGCCCCCAAGCTTAGCAAAGTGCAAACAAAGAGACTGATAAAGGATGGATAGAAAGGAACAAGGGGATGGATCTCTCCAAGGGAACAAGGGTGAGGGGTGAGGAGGAAGGGGAAGGGGAAATATGAGAAATAAAGATGTGCCACGTACAGGAAACTAAAAGCTATAAGTACTGTAAACATTCTATTCCATAACATGAACTAAGATAAATAATATCAACAAGTATGAAAAAGGGGACAGAACTGGAGGAGGAGGGAAAGAGGGAGGGAAGGGGAAGGGGAAGGGGATTTTAAAAAAAGAAACAAGCTGTAAGATGTACATATAACCCATCCCCAAGATGATTGTAAACAGCATGAACTGCAAATGACTTAATAAAATACAAAAACTTATTTAAGAAAAATCAATGAGACCAGAGGTGGTAGCATTCATCTGTATAGCACTTGGGAGGCTGAGGCACTAGGATAGCAAGTTCGAGGCCAGTCTGGGCCACATAGTGAGTTCAAGGACAGCCTGGACTACATAGTAAAGATCGTGTCTCAAAAAACAAAGGACGAACATTGGTGTTGGAGTCTGAAAGAAAAGCTAAGCCAATATTGACACTCATTTCTGCACACTTTATATAGTCCTCATGGACACTGTCTGCAGAAAACTCTGGGGCTCAATATTTTCTGGTCTCCACTTAGGTATGTGTCTGGGACTAAGTTGGAAATAGGTGCAAGGTGAAGCGGGTTTCAAAGGAAGAGCAGAGAGGGCTCCCGGGAGATGGGCTAGGAGGGTCCAGACAAGTCAGTCCTGCTGTCCACAGGAGCTGTGTGGAGCTTAGAATTTCCTGTGGCTGAAAATGATACCCTGAGAGCCATGCAGGAGGGAGGGGGGAGAGAAGAGGATGAAGGTTCACCCCTGAGACCTACGTTGCCTCCATCACTCCACCCACCAACCCTACAGGGTCTGTGACATCATGCTATTTTATAGATGAGGATACAGAGACCTAGAAGGGTAAAGGACCAGCTCACACAATCACAGCCATGATGTCAACACATTCCCCATCTTCCCCACCTTCTTTTTCTCTGGGCAGGTGTTCAGTTACTGGACATGATCCTCGGCCACTAAGGAGGCAGTATAGCTGAGTGAGAAGCAGCACATGAACTGAGCCCAAATCCCTACTATGAGCTATTTACTGCTTGCTGAGTGACTTCAGGAAGTGGCTTCAACTTCAGTTTTCCCATCTGTAAGATGGGAACAATACAGCTAGGAGAGCTTTCTATGTGCTAGGAACTTGCCTGCACCCAAGGGTCCCATGAGGTGGGCATTCTCACCATATGTCACTGGGCCAAGATGCATACATTGCATTTTAACATCTCAGAAACCCAAACGTGTCTTGCTATCATATACAGGTCATTCTCACTGGCGCTGTATTTCTCTCTTTTTAGTACATACATGAGTGATACCTATTCTTTATTTTATTTTTGTTATTATCTTTTGCAGTGCTGGGGGTGGAACCTTAGTCCTTCCATGCTAGTCAAGTGCTCTACCACTGAGCTACT